TGTGTGTGTGTGTGTGTCTAGAGTTGATGTTTGTGCTGTCAGCAGGCCACTAATGCATGGTGAGAATGTGTGATATTCCCCAGCGAGCAGAGAAAAGTACACTCCCAGCATTCACTGGCTTCTCCTCCCTGTTGCATAACGCTTCTCTAGACTGAAATGAGTGTACATTGTATGATGAGGACTGAGGGCTGTTGTTTGGACCATCATGAGTATAATGTGGAACAATGGCTGAATGTTTGGGACTGGTATGTGACAGATTCTGTGCATAGATATGGGTCTGAATGAAGTGCACTATTTAGATTTTTATATTGTTTTGTGAAATAGTAGATTTTTAAATCCCCTTATAGCTGATCTGCTTTGGACATTTAAAGAAAAGAAAAAGTTTATTCACTAAGGCAGGTGTTTTGAGAATGTGGAGTTTTGTCAAGTTTTTGCCGATATGTCTGTAATTATTGCTCGTTAATCTCACTGTAAAGTGCTGCAAAGTTGCAAATCAACTGCAATAATTATCTGTATCCTACAACTTGTTAATGCTGCTCTATCACGTGTTATTTTAAATGGCACGTCGATTGCAATCATGCTTCATTCTTAGCTAATGCTATGTGTATGTATATACTCAGAAAAGCATTTTTGTATTGTTTCTTTTTAAAACTAAAAAAAATATATCAGGGATTTTTGGTGGCAAAAATAGATTTCCACTTTTGTCAGTGTACAATAATAACAATGGCCACCATAGTTTTCCCTTCCGCGCTTGGAAGGGAGGAGGTGAAGCGAGGGAGTTGCGATCCTGCAACTACACCGCTAGGATGCCACTAAATCCTAACACACTGGTCCTTTTAAAGTGGAAATGTAGCAATAAATCAATCAACCGCCATTTTTTTAAAGATTAACGTGTCAGTAGAAGTCTACTGTGACAACACCGATGGAAGATTAGGATAGCAAAAACTCCAACTCAAAAATAACTGAAACTGTCCTAAAACTGACTCATGTAACAAATGTGATATTGGCAGAGGCAGCATTTATTAGATACATTATTTCCAATGTTACATCAGGGTTAACACACAACGTGAACAAATGTGCAGTGTTCCTATTTCCAGCGTTTGGGAGAAACATAAGGAGAGACAGAAAAAACGAAGGAAAGCAGCAAGATCATTCTCAGAATAGCACAACACCACAACAAGCCCTCTGTTTGTTATGGCCTTCAGCCCCCAGCTCCCTCTCCTCTTCATGTGTATTCGTGTGTGTGTGTGTGTGTGTGTGTTTGTGTGTTTCCTTGAACCGGCCACAGTGTTCTCGCCTGGTTCAGGCTGTTGAGAGTTTGCATGAACCTCCTCTCACTGTGCCTGCATGGGGACGAGAGAGGGAGGGGAAGGAAAGGGAGGAGACGGCAAAAGAACACACAGTCAGCACTGTCGGTCAGATCAGGAAGCCTGTGTGTGTGTGTGTGGTTGGGGTGTCTGTTGTGTATGGTGGTGTATTGTCTGTTTGTGAAGGGGTCGAGAGCACCAAGCCGAACCTGTCTGCATATTAGCCCTCACACTTTAGACACATAAAGCCGGACATCCTGATGTTACTCATGCCTTTTCCTCTCATGTTTTTTCACTTCATTGAGGAATAACCTAATGTACCCTCTCTGTCAAGGATGTGGAGGAGAACATTTAAGAAAAGTTTAACTAGAATCAATAAATAATGCCACTATTTAGGTTTGTAGGATCAGAATGAATTTTAGGCTGCTGCAGAAAATAACTACTGTTTTCAAGTCACATTCAAAAAGGACAAATATTTTTATTTTTATATCCCTCGTGAACTGTGAGGCTTCCAGAATTCTAAGTATGATCTGAAAGCAGAGGGATCGTAGGCTATTTTAAGGCCTGAGATGATTTGCTATTTAAGGCTAATTTTTGTGCCTTTCTGTGTGTGTGTGTGTTCCAGATATCTGGTCTCTTGGGGTGATCCTGTACATGTTGGTGTGTGGCGTCCCTCCCTTCCAGGAAACCAACGACAGTGAGACTCTGGTCATGATTCTGGACTGTCGCTACTGCGTCCCCGAGCATGTTTCAGACGACTGCAGAGAGTGAGTACTGATAAATGACATTAGGGTTAGGCCAAAGCTGTGGTTGATAAGATTAATGTTCCTCTCTGATCCCAGCTTCAGAAAGGTTATTGTGAAATAAAAAGATTTTATTGTCTTTGTACCTTTTTTTTTTTCTTGAATTTGAATTGATTCTTCATTTAAAGGCTTACTTTCTCCCAGATGATTTTTGCTGTTGAATAGATGTGGTGTGTCACTCTGTCTTAAAAAGCTGCTGACCGTAAAATCATCTCATTAGTGTGCGTTTCAGTGGATTATTTAAGTGTCCTAGTTCTCTCAGATGCTTCTCCACGCTGCTGCAAATACAGTTCAGATTGTTATCTATCACGTATTGGCTGTTGTTTCCTTTAATACAAAAACATCTGTGTCCTTGGACCGTAAAGTGTATTTCAGTCTAGTCAGAGGAACACAAACACACCCCAGGAACAAAATACAACTCACACGTACTCATGTGTCTTCTCACTTCACCTTCACTCCTCACACCTCCAAACAAAACACACACACACTGTCCTCAGCTCACAGAAGGTTCAGGGTAAACATCAATACAGTTTGATCTACTGCTGCAGCTGTGGAGAGTGATTGACATTAGTCTGTGATAAAAACCTGAAAACACAGTCTTCCAGATCATTTTGTAACTCACTGTTGACTTAGCAGAGGAGTGATCAATAGAGGAAGTACATGGTTAGGAAACACTGGATGGATGGGGCAGGAAAACATGACGAGTAGCGTGATCAGCATAACTTGAAGCCACTTAAAAACTATAAAATAAACAGCAAAATTGGTGCTTATTGAGCCTCTCACCAAACACAAAGGTGTGAAGAAATCCTCTAAATTTTACAGTGTTACATTTGCTTTTACACACATTAAATTACTTATTAAACAGCTAAGAATAACAAACTCAACCCGTCCATCTCCTATGGGATCTGCACCCAGGCCCGGGTCACATCGATTGAATTAATTCATCTTTATTGTTATATAGCACTGGGAAGTACTGACAGAATTGTCTCTACTGGACTGTGAGCTATTGAAACCCATTCTGTGTGTTATTAAAAGAAGTCTTAGATTTAACTTGGTGAACCCTGCAGAGTCCCTAGAGGCTGTTTGTTCATCCAGAGCCTGATATACAGTATATTATTCCTCTGTGCCATACAACTCCATTGTTGCCCAATAACTATTAAAAAGTGAGCCACTTGGTGACACTGGACTGGGTGACATGTTCCTTAATTACCATGAACACACACCCTGTAGTTCATTTTTTTTCATACATCATAATGGCGGCATAAATACTCACTAGAGCAATAAATGTGTATTAATCCATGGCTGAAAATAGTCCCCAATCCTGTTTGAGTCATTTTTGCTAAACACAACAGTGCCCAGCTGTTTTAGGAAATTACAGAGCCTTAAAAAAACAAACTATATATTTTTAAAAAAGATTTACAGGGAAAGAAAGTCAGAAAGAGAGAGAGACGGACTAACACGTTGTTTTAGTCTTTTTGCTGGATTGGATTCAACAATAAGAAAAATATAAAATAAAACTGGATTCATTCCTTAAACACAAGTATACAGTATATGCACCCAAGGTGGGGAAATTGGCAGTTTACAGATACTGACACATGCCAATTTGGTAAGTGTGGTAAAAACACAAAAAGCACAGAAGGGAACAACAGCAGTACAGGTTGCGTGTGTAAAGCTACGGCCGTGTCTGCATGCAGTTCTTTAGCTCCTGAATGAACGCCTTTATACCTTCTAGAAAGATGCAGGCATAAATACCCTCAACCAAGTGGTTTGTTAGATTATCTGCAGCCGCAAACAGATCCTGGAACATCTGACCCAGCACTCGTCATATGAGTTAGTCCTCAGTCACATGATGGTGTGTTTGATTTTAGAAAAGGAGCAGAGGAGAACAGAACAACCTTCTGGACATTAGAAGCTCATACAGGCCATTTCAGTAAGATGTGTGGAGATGGCCTAGATGAGATCGAAATCAGGTCATTCTCTGTGTCAGTTCAGTTGCTCTTTGGCTGATTACCAAAATGTGATGCAAAAAATAAAGCAAGCAAACAGCAGCTTATATTATTTCCATGAAACAATAAACCTCTCTGTCTTTCCCCCCGTCAGTCTGATCTCCAGGATGCTCCAGAAGGATCCGTCCCGCCGCGCCTCGCTCGAGGAAATCGAGGCTCATCACTGGCTGCAGGGGCTGGATAACGCTCTGCTCAGCCCAGAGGCCCCACCACACTGGCTCTCAGGGGCCCTCTCTCCCAGCTCTCCCCGCTCAGGAGTGCCTGAGTGTGGGGACCTGCTCGCGGCGAGGCCTGCCCCTCAGCAGGCTTTCCGTGGACCCTGGCAGCCCAGCCTCAGCTTCACACTCCGTCCACCTCCGGCTGAAGAACCTCCAGTCACAAAGAACCTACCTGCGCTACAGCAGATCTGTGAGGAAGAGGAGGAGGAGGAGGAGGACGGGAGGACGAGGAGGAGGAGGAGGGAAGTTTGGTAAATGAGGGTGAAGGTTTGGCGTCTTTGTCAGTGGCAGAGCCAGAGAGAGAAGCTGTAGAGATGCTCGATGGAGCAGATGATCAAGAGTGCAAAGAAGAGGAACCAAAAGAACAAGAATTAGGAGGCTCACTGGAGATAATGGAGGAGGAAGAGGAGCAGAACGAGATGGTGGAGATGGAGATGGAGAAAGAAGGCAGTGGGCGTGTGATTTCAGACCAGCCAGTCAGTCATGGAGACCAGCCGGTCACTCAGAGACCTGAGGTCCCACCATCGTCTCTGCCTGGTCTGGTGGTACCGTGCTGTCAGGGGCAGCCAGACTCCACAAGCCCAGAGGAAGGAAAGGACGAGGAGACAGAACCCAACAACAACACCAACAAACCTCCTCCTCTCCTCCTTGAATCCTCCGTCCCCGCCATCCCTGTGTCCTCTGCCACACTCATCCTGAACGAGAAGGAGGCACAGAAAGCAGGAAGAGAAGGAGAGCAAGACGAGAAAACAGACGAGGGTGGAAGAGATGACCTCGTAACAGACAGATCTCAACCCCACAATGCACTGGGGACCCGGGATGAGGCTGCCCTGAAGGCAGAGCAGGGGAAACGACATAGCATAAAGCTGCGTGAGAGACTTTTTCAGTTCCCTCTGTGTGAGAAAGCTCTGGCCTTCAACATACCGACAAACAACAAACCCAAGATCCTGCCGCTGGCTCAGTACAACTGCTGCCATGTGCTATAAGTGAAAGCAGCCTGGGTGCTGCTGCGTGGGATGTGCTACTCACTTGGGACACTGGCTGTTTAGCAGTGGGCAGGTGGCTGGCTACAGAGCACAAACCTTGTGAGGTGGCAAACCCCTGAGCTTCCTGTTGAGCCTTTCTGCTGCAGAGACCTTGAGGCACGAGAGCAAAGGCCCTCAGCAGCCATTGACAGGAAGGTGTACAGCTTCACACCCACAGACACTCAATTCTAGTGTTGTTCTGATGTAATAAACATGTGGCGTACAGCACCGTAGTCTGACTTAGTAGAACCTCATGCATTTGCTGCTGTGTACAGGAGCAACCGTAGAATTACAATGACTAGACAGTGTCCAATCGGTAGCTTAGAAACAATACGGGACCTACAGAAAGAGAACGATGGCTGCAGCAGTTTTTATTGAATAAGCTATAGTCTGTTTTGTTTGTTTAAAAGGTGCCTACAACGATAAAATGGGTTTCATACTGTACATGGCCACTGTGTCATTTTGGCTCTGACTGTAAAAAGCTCTAAAAGTCAGAATGGTCTAGCACTCAGAAAATCCATGATTTCATATTTTATAATATATGAATTAGAATAAACTTTGAACCAGCTTCTGCTACAGAGTAGCACTCCTTTCCTCCTACCCTTTGCACAGCCTGCCCTGTTATTGGTTGAAAAGCTCTACTATAAGCTCTATTGAATAAAGAAAGACTGTTATGATATGATATGATATGATATGATACTGTGTAGTATATGCCTAAGACTGAGATGATGATATGATTTTCTGTTCTCTTAATCCTAAAGTCTTATTGATATGATGACTTGTCCTAACATACTGTATAATACTGTTGATAGGATCATTGATTGGGATGCAGGTCTTCCATTGTACTTTGAACTCTTTCTTTTTAGCTATACTGAACAGTTTAATATTTGATCATAACAGTTTTATTTTGGATGCGCAGATATGAAGTTCCTTGATTTTTTTTTATAACGTGACAAAGATATGAATTCTCTAAAGGGATATGTGACTTTGTGCATGTTATTACTGTTATTTATCACAATATACCTCCATGTGTCTTGGATCTGACAGGACATTGCTCTTGTGTAACTGTTAAGTACCTTGATGTAACCCACTCAACGATGAATTGCACACAGTACGACTACTGGTAGTTGGTAGCTTTCCACAAGCAGTATCCTGGGACTGATGGGTAGATTTGTTGGTCATTTAGACCAAATGGTAGTCATATGTTATTGTGTAGCGGAGGAGTCCCCCCATATGGTTTTATTTGACTATATAATGCCTCTGTGTGTTTCTGTATTTTTGCATACACACTGTATTTTCCCTCCGTTGAAGCTGGGACGAGAAATGTAACATTTTGTAAAGTTAAAGAAGGCCAAAGTTGTACAATAAGCTACATGTCTACACCTATAGGTCACTAACCACAGCTTATTTCTGTCAGTCACTGCAGTTTCATGGGTACAACAAATTGGATTTTTAACTTGCAACCTGTGGTCCCTGTGAGCGGATGTCACGTGAAATCTGATTATCACTCACATTTCATTAACCATGGAAGCATAAAATCTGTGCAGAAGAGGGATAAAATCCCATTATTTGTTCCTGTGTGATTGCAGCCTGTCTCTCCTCAGTGTGTCTGTGTCTACTGACCTGCATTGTAACTAGGACCACGTCTCTATGGAGCCATGAACTTATTTTTTCTCTATTTATTTATTAAAATTGATTAAATCAACAGCATGGATGTGTGCTGCGTGCTGATTGTACAGAGAACGTGGATAAGGATACTGTGCAGTAGTTTCTCCCACACACACAGGAAACTAGATATAAGAGAGACCCCAAAAGCCCCAGGGTCACTGTATGTCGATACACTGCACATTTGAAAATGTGCACCACTAAAGCACAATATCAACTGAAAAGATACATGGTAATAGGATAGACACACAAAGCACAGAGAAAACTGTAGCACTAATACAACCAAAGTTGACACTGAGACATGACAACTAGACAATAACCAACATAACACAACATAAAGCAGGCCTAATCATCAAACTATTCAGCTTTATGTGTTAACATTACATTAAACTGTCATCTGTGGTTGGTTTTGACATAGCTGTCATGAGACTATAATTGTATCATGAATATTTTCCTTGACCTCAAGTACAGCAGTACTATTCAGTTATTACACCATCAAACACTTTTTAAGAGTGTCATGAATCATTTCCTAAACTTAACTGTCGGTCATTTACAGACTGACAAAGACAGGTTAAGTTGTCATGGTAAATGTCAAGTTGTCATAACAAAAACATCCCAAACAACATCAACTTTGCATTAGATATGACATAATGATTCTTAATGACAAAGACTTATGCACATGCCTTCAAATAAAGTCTTACCAGTCTGCTTTATAAAATTTCTAAAGCCAGAGTGCACGTCTTGTCCACATCTTTATAATTGACATGCTGGAACAAAGGAATGTTCAGAGGAAAATTACTTAAATAGTTATTCAGTTATTACATTTAAAAAAATCTGTTCAATTTCCTGTTTATTGACTAACCATTTCAGCCCTAGTAAGTACTAGATGTAAAACAAATGTAGTGGGTCAAAAGTACAATACCTCCCTCAGAAATGTAGTGGAGTAGAAACATGAAGTAGCATCAAATGAAAATACTCAAGTACCTAACTAAGTTTTCATAAATACACGACAACCAACCAGTTTCCTTCTGTGAGTTTATTGTAGAACAACCAGCAAACATCATCACCTCTGTTTCTAACCTGAAATTCATTCTGATCCTGGCACCAGAATGTCTAAAAGTTCATCTTCACCAACTCATCACAACCCTTCACAACAGAGCGCACACGTACACACACACGCACACACACACACACACACACACAGGTTTATGATTAGTGTCAGAAGTGCACAAGTACAGGTGCAGACGCTTGAGGAGGTCTTAGCATCCACCTGCTTCTGTGAGCCACCAGGGCTTGTGAAAAGTATGTGGAGCAAAATATTAAATGTATAGTGCCACCTGGTGGCTGGAAAAAATAGAATATCCTACAAACAATAACTTATATAGTGAACAATACACCACTGTAAAGCAGAAAAAAATACAGAATTCCCCAGTGGACAGATTCATTGTATGAAGTGCCAGAGTAAACAGTAAAACACTCATGGTATGAATGTAAAGGTGAAGTAGCTATTGCAGCACAGTGAACTCAAGCAGTCATTCTCAGAGGCACACAACGCATAAACAAGTGAGTAAAGACTAAAATCCAAGCATAAAAAAAGAATGCATTTCTAATAACAAAGCACATAGCGGTTCTTTGGTAGCTCCCATCACTTTCACTGCAAATTAAAACTTGGCATATAGTTTACTGTACTCATCTCATGTTATAGATGTCACATGGTCCAATACAGTTATTATTTACGTGTGGGAAGGGAAAGGTACTAGTGCAACATTTTCTTCTACCTGCTCAAGCAGAAGCAAATGTTTCAGACAGGAATTCAGCACAATAAAAGGTAATACCTATCATTGCAGAATATTAACAATAATTTTCTGAAATTAAAGCTCCAATAATTGTTTTTTGACCACTTGGGGGCAGCACAAAAAGCTGTAAATGCATGATTAATATGGCTAACTTGTTTGCAAGCATTTCAATAAATATTTTGATAAAAATATTGACTAAGGCGGGTTTAAAGCCTTATTTTGATTTATATTTCTTGCTTTTTCTCTATCTTCTATGATGATACTGTTACCTGAACACAAAATGTAGCTTATCATAGCAAAAACACTTTTAAAAGAGTTAAAATAACTGGAACATTTTGTCAAGTATTCTTCCTTTTTTTGTCTGTGACCCTGCCAGTGACATCAGAATCCTATTACTATTACTACTGTAAATATTGATTGTACATACTGTAGCCATATTGATTATATAAGCGCTCTTCAGCTTTCCCTCATTGAACCTGAACAAAGCCTGTTAAAACCTCTTTTATCTTAACATTTCTAAAGGGCATCCGTACACATAACCAATACATTCCCAGCTGTCTAATATTTGAGGGAAAAAAAACACTTTTTAGCTGCTGTTTCAATTGCACTTGCAGTGTACATGTAATAAGAGGGTGCATTTCAGAGGGCGTACATTGCAGAAGCACCGTGTTAATTCGTGACAGCAACAGAAACACTTTAGAAGTATACAGGGGGAGCATTGGGTGCACAGCAGTATGCATTGTGGGCCCTGCTGGAGATCCAAGACTCCTGTCTGAGCCCACACAACACTGAGGTTGGCACTGTATATTCTGGTTGTAGCAGCTCAGCTCAGGACAACATAAAGCCTCAGCCCAACACCTTGAAACGCAATCAGGACTCTTCAGAATGCAGCTTCTGGAAGAAAAGGAAGAAAAGTTCTCACACAGACGGATGAGAACACCCAAATGGTAAATAATAAAATGTATGGAGGTTTACCTGCTGTCTGAAGGCCTGCATGGATGTGTACTCAATATGTTCTCTTTTTTTTCGAATCCAGTCCGGTTCATCAGGGATCAGCACCGCCAAGACCACCTTAACCAGGATCAGCACATGCTGCAAACACACACAGAGGTAAAAATGTCAGTGACACACATACAGACGATTGTTTTAATGTGACTCACACAAATGACCTCCATCTTACCTCCACCAAAACAGCCAACAGCAGAATGTTTGTGCTGCTCATCCCGCCCTCCTGAAACTGCTCTTGTAACCATGGTGACAGCAGCAGCAGCCAGCAGTTGGACACAACGGAGACAAAACTCAGGACCTCGAAAGCAATCTGAAACAAGACAATGACATGAACTGTTCACTCATAACTGGCTGAGCGGGGACACTCTGCCTCAGTTCTGCTGTGCGTTGTGTTTTCTGCTGACCTGCCACACGCCCATGTTAGCCACAGGGGGGGAGAAGGGTTTGCGGAAGAGCTTGCAGATTTTGTAGGCGTCCGATCGTATCTCTGTTAGATTATTGATGAGCAGCAGTACAGCTGTCAGAGGATACACGCAGGAGAAAAGACTGAAATACCCAAACTGCACCAGGAGCTCGATGTACTCTGCAAACAAACCCTGTAACAAGACAAGAAGCTGTGTCACACACTGCCACAGTGTATTCTTATCAATGTGATGTATCTGAATAGTGTACACTCACAGGGAAGGCAGGCACGGTGCTTTGGTTCCTAAATTTGTCCTCCTGTGGGTCGTCTTCACTCTCTGTCCTGTGGGGGGCACTGATGAACCGATCCACCAGGAAGGGTATGACCACCTCTGTCACCTGGTTCACCAGCTGGGACACTATCAGCAGAGATGCTAGACGCTTTAGACAGACAAAGAGAATCATTTAAGGATTTAGTTTAGTTATTTCCTGTTTTATGTCTGTCCTTGTGCGTCACTTCACTTCCTGCCTTTGTCTGTTTTACCGCCAATTGTAATTGTCTGCCCTTATTGGGTTCACTAGTTCAGTAGTTAACTAGTTAAGATCAGTTACTGGAGAAACAATTGACCAATAAAAGCTTTAAGCAGGATTTAAAATGTGACCGTGCTAGATAGCTAACCAGCTGCCTAGCTAGATCCATGAAAAATAACGACAGAAAAATGGGGAGTTGATGAACTTACAGAAATAATGACACTTAAATCAAATGAAAAAAACATAGTCTTTCCAGCAACTGCTACGCTAACTTTGGAGTCAGCTAAAATGATGCTGGCAGTGCAGATATGTCCCTTTATACTGACTGGTCAGGGAAAAACTAAAGAAATAAACCCCCTTTCCAACAGGAATATGGCTAATATGAACACAGTGTCAGGCTGTGTATAATAATAGTTGCATAATGTCTCCTGTAGCTCTGAAGGAGCTCCATCACATCTGAGAAAATGGAAAAAGGGTTTTCTCAGTCAATCAGTTTTTAGAAAATTTTAATTTTTTACTGTGTTAAAGTGTGTGTTTATCATTAGGCATTACCTTACGAAGCAAAGGCACATCCTGCTTGAAGAAGGCAATGTGGAAGAGCACTGCAAAGTAGTTGAAGAAGGTGAACTGGGGGAGGAGAGAAAAGATCATTTTAAAAGAGCCTGTTAGGTAAAGATGATGTAAGAGCTAATGGTAGATGATGGAGATGATAGAGGAGGAACTAACCACCAAGACTTTGGCTGTTAGGTGGTTCTGGAAGGCAGACTCCTCTCTGTGGTTCTCTAAAGGGAAATATGAGGTTAATTAATAGCTAATCATAGCCATTAATATCATAATTATGAACATTAATAGGCAGGATTGCATACCCTGATCATCTGAATGAATATTTTCCATTCTCTTTTCTCTCTTTGTGTCCCTGACTCCCATAACCCTTTTCCTCACCTGACTGCAACTTTGCCACAAATTCTTCAAAATACAAATATAATTGCCATTGTATTCATAATTTCATGATTTTTCATTCTCAGTATCGCATCCCCTCCGTCTCACTCACCATGTTCAGTCAGAGACTGTGCCACTGTCTTGTAAACAGTCGATAGCATGTTAGTATAGACGATGTGAAGCACTGAGGGCATGTAGAGCAAAGTCTGAGACAGCAGGGAGTCCCAGTCTCTGTGTAGCTGCTGCACCTGGGCCTCCCCCCAGTAGAAACAAAGCATACCCAGCACCACCAACCCTGCAGGAGGAGACAGAACAGGGCAGGGGACAAGGCTTTACACATTTGTATCACTTTATCCTTTAACATTTACTTAATTTACTTGCTCAGTAGACCTTTGGAAACTTGATACCATTCTAAAGTGGACATTAAGTAGTAAGTATTTTAAATAATTTCCCCCTGGGATTATTAAAGTATTTCTGATTCTGATTCTGACAATACTACTTTTACTTGAGGTTTGCAATAAAGAAATTAATGAATATCATGGAAGCTTTCAGCTCAGTAACTGAGAAATGTATTTAATTCAAACTTGAAAGTTAAGTTCTACCCAGAAACAGTCCCACCACTGGGACTGACACCAGCGCCATACGCAGGTCCCTCCGCCATTCAGGAAAGAGCGGCTCCACACGACCTGTCACAGGGTTGACCCCTATGTCGCCATGGAACCCGGGCCGGGGCTCTGCGAAGCGTTCGGCGAGGTGCAGGGTGCCCCAGCGGTAGGACAGGGAGGAGCTCCGACGCTTCCACAGCTCCATAACCACCGTGGACCAGATCATGCTGAACACTGCCTGGATCATGTGACCGCTGACCGCTGTTCCTGATTCATCTTCAACACCTGTGACCTTTGAACCTGAGACTGACTTCTCCATCTCTTTCTGAACCTCACCTGTGATGGGCAAGAAGAACTTGGTGTCCAGTTTATTTTGTTTGAATACAATAGCCTGAATGACTTGTTAGCTTGATACCATTCTAAAGTGGACATTAAGTAGTAAGTATTTTAAAAATATGATGAGTTGTATTTGTTGTATAACCTACTTAAGACACAAAACAATATCTAGAGGTCACATGATACACACACTGTATGTGGGGAAACCAAAAACAACCTCAGAGAACCCAGATGTGGTAAGATAGCCGAAAACATGTTGTGAGTAAAGTGTGGTGAATTGGAGTTGTGCTATGGGTTTTAATTTTGAAGTTGACACTGGTCTGTACTTCTGTTCTTCTTCAATGTTAGACATTAGCATGCTAACAATTAAATTGAATTACCTGAATAAAGGAATCGTTATATTTTGTTACGTTAGAATGAGCTGTTTGTATCTACAGATGCCGTGGGTCACCTTCCATGGAGTCCGCCATGTTGAATCCGCCATGTTTCTACAGTAGCCCAGAAACCAAACACTGGCTCTAGATAGGTGCGTTGACGTTTTATGCACGTTTCATCGCCACCATAGTTTCTCATTTGTGCTTGGAAGGATGAAGCGAGGGAATTGCAATCTGCAACTACACCCCTAATTGCCACTAAGTCTTACACCTTGCATACTGGACCTTTAACATGCTAATATGCTAAAAGCTATCTCTTAATGTCTTGTTAACAGTATAACTATAGACATGTTAACATGCTGCTGATGTTAGCTTTTCTGAATTGTAACACTTAATAAAACAGTCTCAGAGTAAGCTTTATATAGTATTGGGCAAAAATAACAAGTGTAAGGGATAAGTAAGACGAGACCTGCAGGGCTGCAATAATTTTATTTTATCAATTTTCTCAAGGTCATGAATTACCTTATCTGTTATCTCAGCATAACAATGTTGTTTTCTGGTGATATAAACTAATTATCTTTAAAAAATTAGGTTGTTTTCTCAAGATAAGACGATAATTAGTTTGCAAAAAACATTTTTGGCTTCTATAGATAAAAATAGCAAAGTTTCTCTTTTGATGTTGTTGGAATCCTCACTTGTTCGTTATGTTTTGTTCGCACACCAGTGAAAATAAGCATGCTCTTTAAAGTTTCATGGTTTCTGAGTATTCAGATTACTTTTACTTTACTTTTTAATATGCTGCTAACATTACAAAACTCTCCAGTGCAGCTTTAGGATACCTAAAAAGTTGTCAACAGGTTTCTGATTAGGTATAGTAACTTGCAAAACTTTGTGCTGAAACCATTTGGAGGGGAAAATTATGTTTATTGAGTGATAAATAAATGCCATATACTGTAAACAAAAACAAAAATAAATGATAAATCCACACACCTACCTGAGAAGTATGTGATGGACAGGCCTAGTATCGCTGGTGGGAGCAGAGACCAGGTGTAGAAATCAAGAAAGCTGAAGTAGAAAGCCACAGAGCTTCCGAAATACCCATTGACTGCATCTGGATAAAGCAGCAGACACAGATGTCTGGTGTTAGTGCATGCATGGACCAACTGTCAGCTTTCACCCACACAGCCATTTATTGTAAACTCTAACTCCTCTCAGCATGAAAAAAAACTGAGACTGTGACCATATTTGCACCAGTCTCTGCATTCGTGTGCGTACGAGCAGTCATGTGGTAGTGTGTGTGTGTGTGTGTGTATTTCCACCCACCCAGTGGCTGAGCCAGCTGATTCCCAGAGTACCAGGCCTCACTGAGATCCTTCAGTTTGTCAGGGTTATGGAGGGGAAACGTGTCCAAGATAACACCAGCTGACCCGAGCTTCTGCCCTGCAACAACCCTCAGTTTTACACACGACATCAAAGTCAAACACTCCAACACAGGGTGACTTGGGAACATGAAAAGGGACACATTTCTAAGTAAAGCAGCAAGAAATCCACACATATACAGTTACATAGATACACATATTACAGCTGGATACTGGCTGAATGTGGAGACAGCAGGCTACAACTAATATTCACAACATGCCTGTTAATGTGTCAGAAAAAAACATTTACATTATTACATTTACTTGCTGAACTGGATGGCAGTTTACAATGCGATGACATAAGTGCACCGCACAAAATGTCTTAACAAGTAGTGATCGTCCATCATCTTTGTCCTGAGGCATTCATTTACATTGTTAAATTGAGTAGTGTGCATCCTGCCTGCCCATACTGATGAGAGCACTCACAGATGTTGTCTCGGTGTTGCAGTGCGGAGCTGTCAGACAGGCCAGGTATTCTCAGGTCTCTCTGAGCCCGCAGACCGTCCAGCTCATACTTGACTATGAACTGCCGCTCGGCCAAGGTCAGGAACACCTCCATGTTATCTGTCACACACATGAATAGATAGAGGTACATGGATATAGCCAGTGATGCATGAAGACAAACACGCAAGAATGAAAAATAGTTTTGAAAACAGCAAGACTAAAAATCAGCAGGGCCGGATCTAGAAAAATATTCATGGGGTGGCAGAAATATATGCTGACTCAATTGCAAACAATCACACATTTGAATATTGGCTTGGAAAAGGCCCAAAATGAAGATATTTCTCAAAAACATTCTTGTGGCACATTGTTGGTAAAACACTGATTAGATATATCTAAAGGTGGCAATAGAAATCAATAAAATGTTTTATTTCCAAATCTTCAAACATTTTTCCAAATATACGTCTTTTTTTCACAAAATATGGATATCAGGGGTGTAAGAATATTGATACACTTTGCAATATTATGTTTTGTGAGACTGTATTGATTTTTAATTAATGGTTTAATTGCAAAGATTCATGGCAGTGGTTCATTTTGTGTTTTGTTTAAACCACCGATAAATAGTGAGTGCAGTGTGTAATCTATCTTTAGCCATTTGACTCTTCCACACTAACCTTAAAATGTGCAACAAGAAATACTGGATGTTACAGTGACTGTGATGAATAAAAATATAGATCCCACTGTTCTGGTTACATAAATAAAGTATTCTCTTTTTCAGATTTTATGCATATGGCGTTGTGTTCTTTATACTATACTAATTATTTTAAAATAATTGCAATGTATCACAATAAATTGAATCGTAACCCCTATATTGTGATACGTGTTGTATCGCCACGTTGTTGCCAGTACAGAGCCCTAATGGACATACACTACAAGGTATTCACTGGACAGTTGCAATGCGCTGAGGCCAGAGAAGCAATGGAAAAACACAGCTGACTTGAACTTTGTATCATGTGCACCGGCCAGACTATTTGTGTATGACCAAAGCTTTAGTTTTATGGCTTAACAATAGGATGCTACTGTTAGATCAGACGGACGAAATAAAAACCTTTACAGTGAGAGGGAGAGGAAATGTTTCCATCGCAAACAGATACAGGCCTTTTAACAGATCTGAGCAACTGGTAAAGTAAACAGTGAGACAGTAAAACCTTACCTGTTGCCCTTTTAATTTGACATCCATATGTAATCGTACATTATACATGCATCATTTTCATCTGTTTGTGTTGTAAATGTTATATTAAAGAACCAACATCTGTTGTGTTCTGTAACATGTAAAGTGTGATCATGAATACATTCAAAGCTCCACTGCTGTACCTGAATCTTTAAAGTTGTCTCTGTCGTTGTAGGAAAAAGCCTCCATGTTGTTGTTGCAGTAAGTCTTACATAGACCCAACTCTTCAGTGGCTCTAAGTAGCGTACAGCGTGGGGCGGAGACCACGATGATGTCACCACTGGCATCCTCACCCGGGTGGGCCAGTAATGCAGCACCTGGGGGTGAGACAGTGTTACAAAGAGGGAGCATTAAAACTGAAAGGGAGGCAATTTGGGATCTCTCTGTTTCAATGTACTCATGGGCAGGTGAGCTAAAAGTCATATTTGAAAAATGTGAACCTATCCTTAAAACACTGTGCTGGTCACATTCTTTCAATAGGAAAAAACATTTTTCAGTAGTTGATAAATTATGCAAACATGCAGGCAGAGGTAGAGATTTGGGTTTCATGATGGCAGCTGATAAAGGTAACTGACAAGGTTTTGCATGATTCAGGTGTGATTTTCTGAGGAATTAGGGAGTTCTGTCTCTTTATGTGTTGATGTGACATTTAACTAGATATAATGAGATCTTTATCTGTTAGAAATGATGCAAAACCTAAAAAGGTAACTCATTAATGTGCAACACTAAACAAATCCAAGAGCTAAGGCTAGAAGAGGAACTGCAGTGCTGCTTGATTTGATCAATGATAGCAAGGAGTGGTTGCATTCAGAAAAGTAAGAAAAGACTAATTCAAGGTCCAGTGTGTAAAATTAAGGCAGATTATTGGCAGAAATAAAAAAATATTCATTGGTATGTTTTCAATAGTGTATAATCAGCTAACATAAAAGAATAATAAGAATTGTTGTGTTTTAGAGTGAACAGTTTTCATTTACAGAGGCACAACTTCACCGCTAGATGCTACTAAATCCTACACACTGGTCCTAAGTAACTTTAAAGAAGAATTCCAGTGATACATTCATGCTAATTTTGCAATCGCCACCTCCCTTGTAGATATTCTAAATCATGCTGTATATGAAATAATAAGTAATAATTGGTAAATATAAATAAATAGGTAGCTTGCTAGCTGGCTAACCAAACAGCCAGCTTGGTTGCCCCAGTAGATAGCTAAAAAAGCTAAACCAGGGGGGTAATTTCTGATTTATCTTTGTTTTTCATCTCTGAGACATTATTTATGTAACACTGACTTTTTTGGAAAGCTTTAGGAGACTTGCACAGCTTGCCATGATATATGTTGTTTTGTTGGAGTCAATTGGTGAGTGCATGACACACAGTGAGAAAAGCCACAACTATGAGAATAAGATCCAGACACTTTCCATGAAGGTTGTTAAACTCATAATCAAGTGTACATATGTTACAGTATGTTCTGTATTGCTTGTTCCAACTCTTAATTTGCAATTACTGTATATGATGTTAAATACTCAAACACAGTACTCCGTGTTATTATGGCTGGTAAACCATCAAATGTAAATATTCTATATGTCTTGTTCATCATTTCCTTCCAAAAGATTCTGCCAGATATATTGGAGTCTTTGGAAACTTTTATCCAGAGTTCTGTGGGATTTAACATTTGTTGGCAGCCCAATATGGTTTTAATGACTGGTTCAAATAGATACATAGATATACAGTTGCAATCGGACTATTCAACCCCCGAAAGATTTTAAGGATTTATCAATTAAAGTTTTAAGAGCAAGATTCTGTTCGATGCTTCTTAATGATTGAGTGAGAAGAAAATCAACACAGTATATTGTTAGATAGCATGTTCACAGATATTAACCCTATAAGTTAATATTGTTGTTTTTAAATTTTTATGGCCTAAAGTGGAGTTGAAACATAATTAAGCCTTTGGGAACTATAATGATCCTTCCTTTGCTTCAGCTGTGATGCATATATAAACCCCACCCATGAAGGTATTGAAGGTGAGTTGCAATCATGCAAAAGACAAAGAAGCTTCAAAAAAATTTTATATTCCAAGAGACACCATTGGGAGCGTTATAAGGAAGTTTAAAAATGCAAACCTGCCTGGCTGTGGAAGAAATCCCAACATTTCATTAGCAACTTAGTCAGAAAAACTAAGAGAAACCCCTGTGTGACTGCAAGACACCTACAGGATGACCTGATGAAGGCTGGTACAAGTGCTTCAGTGGCAACTATAAGATGTGCACTGAATAAACAAGTACTTCATGGCCGGATTCCAAGACACACTCCACTCTTAACCAACTGAAACTCTTTGGTGGGATTTAAAGAAGGCAGTTGCAGCATGGAAGCCATCAAACATTACTGAGCTAGAGGCTTTTGCAGGTGAAGAATGTGCAAAGATTCGAGAGATGAAAGAAGCTTGTCAGCACTTTCCGAAAACAATTATTAGAAGTTATAAAAGCTAAAGGATGCGTCACAAAGTGTGTTAAAAGAGTTAAAGTTTTCATTTGAACTTCAAAATAAAGTCAACTTCTGTTGTCAAAATAACTCATATGTATCAATAAATATTTTTTGTTGTTTAACAAGGTTTATTTATCATTTATTGTCATTATCTTTCATCCACATCACTATAATGTTTTTTGAGGTGAGGGGGTTGAACATTTCTGATTGCAACTGTGTGCTCTTCTTTTTAACATGTTGGCCCATTTCCAACATCTCTGGGTTACGTTTACATAGGAATCTATGTACATTGCCACCTGGCATGTAAATGCAAATGCAATCAAATGTTTAAATGCTAGAGACCTTCCAGGCAATGGTTCTCCTGTTCAATAGACTTCCATAATGAGAGAGAAAGGCTCATAAATGTTTGATCAGTATGTTTGCCCTTGCCTGCTTTCCTATCATCACTGTTATTCAAGCCCTCACCTCCATCTTTCTGAGGAGCTCCAATCACTTTGATGAGCCACCTTTTCGTCTCAGGGCGAACTTTCTTTCCGAGCTTCACCAGAACCAACGGCTCGACTCGCTCCGACACACAGCAGGGGCAACTAACTTTAGTCCATCCTGGTCCAATAGAGGTAGCAGTCAGTTTGCTCAGGGCCTTCACTGGAGTCTTCTCCTCTGGCTGCGGGGTTGTTTCACTGCAGACGCCACCGCCGACTTCATCACCACCTGCTTTACTCATGGTGAGACTGAGAAGAAATGTTAACAAAACTGTTTTAGTTTGAGCTTCTATGTGCACTGTCGCCATCATCATTGTCTTCAAACAGGAGAGTTTGTGAGGTACCCTCACCTGCGTCATGGCTCTAAGCATGGCACACTGAAACAAAACAAGTGTTTTGACATTCATAGTCCCAGAGGGTGAAGCCTATACTGACTTTGATGATCCCGTTTTTTTTTATATTGTGCCATGAGAAGGTTGACATTTTTGTTTTTTAGTGAAATATTTCGACAACTATTGAATAGATTGTCATGAAGCTGGGCACAGACGTTTACAGTGCTTAGAGGACGAGTCCTAATGACTTTAGTGATCTGACTTTACATTAAAGTTTTCACTTCCTGTAAAAATCTGCTCTAATAGATGGAATGGAACCATTTTGTATAGACAATCATGGTTTAAATAGGATGAATCAGGATGAATTGTAATAACTTTACCTGAACTTTTCATCTAGCGATACTTTGGTTATAAGACCGAATAACGGTAAAACTAATGACATTCCCATCAGCCTCAGCTGTTAAAAGTCAAAGTCAAAAGTCAAGAAAAAACTGTTTTGCTAGCAAGAAGTCAGAACTTATCTACCTGTTTAAGGACTCTGTTATTGTGCCACCAACCACTACCAACCCTTGTAACATCTTTGCATTAGACTTTTTATAATCCATCATTTACATGTTTGAGTGCATACTGTATATAAAACAGTTATAATTGTCTTTACTGCATTTGAATTTCCAGCTACATTAAACAAAATTAGACTGGTTATGGAGCTCTTAGATTTGCATGTGAGATTGAACATGCAGTAGCTTCAGGCATAATTTTCCAGGATTCTTTGTCATTTACTGGCTGTAATTTCAGTTACTTGCTGAGCCGTTCAATAGTGAATCAACACTAAATGTTTCAGTTTCTCTGGAGGAAACAGCGGTTACTTCGCCACTAACAGCAGATAAAAAGAACTTCCTCTGTTTTGACTGCATCACAAGTTAGCTTTAAGCTACACTGACAGGCAGATAAAACCATCGAAGACAGGACAAGACTGAGAGAGACGCAGAAAGACAGAAAGTGGTGCCGTCCCACCCATATTGTGAGAGAGAGACATGTACAGTGGCAGAGAGAATGAGTCAGGAAATACAATACCTGTCAGAACGTTGATGATGAGGTTCTGGTCTCCAGTCCTACAGCAGGCCCACACCCCCTCCAAACTCCTGTTTGAACACACACACACACACACACACACACACACACAGATGAACATGAAGACAACATCTAATCAGTTTCCTGAAAAGAAACCAGGAACAACACACTCTTACTCTCTGCACACACTTACCCAGCCTCAGTGTGTGGTTCCTCCCAGTTTTCTGTCTATGTGTATGTATGTATGTGTGTCTATGTGTGTGTGTATTAACAGGAATGCGGAGGAACTTCCAGAGACTGCAGGGTGTGGAGGGTTGTTTGGTTTATATTCAGGCTCCTCCCTCCTGCCTGCTCTCTGCTTTATGGCTGCTGCTGCAGCTCAGGGTCCTACTGCTCCACCCGTCTCTGCTGCCTAGTGTTAACTGGGTTAAGAACTCACACACTCCTGAAGATGCTCCAGGGCAGCAATAGTTTGGTTTGAAATCTCAGACAATCTGCTGCTTTAAAAACATGCCAGATAAACAAGATTAGAGCATTGTTGACCTTTACTAAACCCGAACAATGAAACACTTAAACAAAATTACACTGTACCATACACTCTCAGTTTATTCTTTATTATCATGTATTTAAAAAATATTCATTTTAAAGTCTGAAGTCAGTTCTGTGAAACTGTACTTAGGAGCAGCAGCGCTTTGAGCTAAATACTAACCTCAGCATGCTTACAATGCTCACATGCTAATTATTAGCATGTAATGTTCACTGTGATTACCATCTTAGGTTAGCATGTTAGCATGCCAACATTTGCTAATTAGCACTGACCACAAAGTACAACTGAGGCTGAGGGTAATGTCAGTAGTAATGTAAAGATGAAATCATAAAATCTAAAAATGATCAAATATTGGACTAAAATGTTGACCTCGCAGCAGTGCTAGATGGAAGGTCACATGATCATCAGGTCATTTGGATTTATTCTCTGGGTGCTGTGGCAATCCATAAAGTTGCTGAGACATTTCACTACAAAACAAAAGTGTCAACCTCAGGGTGGAGCTAGAGGGAAAGTCAGGGGATCACTAAGGTCAGTAAACATTATCCTCTGGGGACCATGAATGTCTGTATAAAACGTAATCAAAAGCCTAATGAGATATTTCAGTCTGGACCAAAGTGGTGGATCAATCAATCAACAGACCGACCGACAGACCAACATTGCCATCGTTGGTTGGAAACATTCAAGTTTTTAGTAGTATAGGTAAATCTGTATGTTATAACATCCCTCAAACGTTTTAGCTGATCTATCGGTGTATAGCTCTGTTTGATCACAAACATTACTTGCTGTGTTTATTAGTGATTTGGAAAGGGCAGTGCACTTTTTTAAACATTTTTCTTTATGCTAATGATCTTATTTTGTTGCCTATGTATTGCTGAATTGTGTAAAAAGTAGAGACTACTGAAGATAAAAAGAAACACGAGTTATGCATTTTTGAAAAACCAGGTAGAGAAAGGAGTAGTTTTTACTTTTTTGTGGGTGAGAAAGACCTGAATTTACAGATAAAGTATCTTTGTTTCTTTTCTATGTGGTGCATCAATTCGAGCAAACTCGGCCTGTAGGGCTATGTGTGGTATGGGTTATTTAACATATTCCAATTGTATCAAAGTGTGTATGTATTAGATGTAGAAAGTCCATAATCAGGCGACTGGGACTACCAAATATGCACCTGTGTTGGCAGTTAATGGAGATATGGAGTAAGAGTAAGACTGTTCAACAGGCTGCTGGGTTTACCAACCATGAAATATTTTGTCTTTTTGTGGCAAATGGGCATCTGGAATATTTAATATATTAGAAGAATGTGGACTTTTTCTTGTCAAATTCTGTGCAGTTATGATGTGGAATATTAACACTACATATTGAAACAGGAAGAAAGAAAGAATATTTTGAGCTAAATGAGGTGGAGAAAGTAATTACATTTTATATTGTCCTTTATATTATGATCTATGACAAATATTTTTAAAAAGGTTTTAGTTCCTGATTTAGATTTGTAGTGAGTATTGAAAATGGAGCTTTAATGGGTCACCTTTTTAATATTGTTTTTGCAATTTTTTTCCTAAAGCATGGGATAGAGGGAGAGAGTAACATATGATAGATACATTTTTCAGACTCTAAATTGATTGCAGACTATTGGTTTCATTGGATCAAATATACAGTGGTTGGCTGTAATGGATGCAGATGTTTTTTGTCTTTTTTAATGTTTGCTTGCTTACAAGGTAAACATTATACCTGCTTAACGTCAGGATGGAGGTTGTTGTATTACCACTAGGAGACGCCAAAGTCAAACTTTTTCAAGCCCTACACACCGAGTAATAAGAAAAGACATCTGTTTACAGATTTTAGCTCCTTAAATAAAGCATTTGTCACAGGTTGTTCACTAGAAGGATGTTTTCACATTCATCTGCTGAAAGTGGAAAGTTTCTCTGTACTCATTGAACATCTGATTTTAAGAGGCGAGGCCTACCAGCATGATTTGTGACATCACAAATAGTAAGGAAGTCAAGTCCTGGTCCAGTATGCAACTTGTACAGTGTGATGTAGAAACTTGAAGCCACCAACTTTTTCAGCTCGTCTGTTCGATTGGACCATACGGGCCAGCCTTCACTCCCTACGTGCATCAATGAGCCTTGGCTCCCCTGTCTCGGGTTCTTTTTCTTTCCTTGGAGCACTTTTGATAGATACTGACCTCTGCAGACCGGGAACACCCCACAAGAGCTGCAGGTTTGGAGATACTCTGACCCAGTCGTCTAACCATCACAATTTGACCCTTGTCAAAGTCGCTCAAATCCTCACGCTGCCCATTTTTCCTGCTTCTAAAACATCAGCTTTGAGGACAAAAATGTTCACTGGATAATATATCCCACCCACTGACAGGTGCCATGATAACCAGATAATCAGTGTTATTCACTTCACCTGTCAGTGCTCATAATGTTATGGCTGATCGGTGTATGTT